TACGGGGTTGCACGCGCGGTACAAGCGGTTTAAAACAAGCCGTATCGGGAAAGGGCAATATGTTAAAAGCACGGGCGAAACCGCCCGGCAAAAGCGGGGGGCGTTAAAAAAACGGGCAAAACCGCCCGGTAAAAAAAAAAAAGGGCGCTAGCAACCAACCAAATACGAACTTTTCCAAAAACATGCCGGCAAATTACCGGTATTGCGGCCAAAGCATAATAGCGAAGCTAAAAAATAAAATAAAGTTTAAATTGTACGAAAGCGCATGGAACGCGAAAAATTTAAAAAACCGACCCCGCGTGCCCGAAAGGGCACGAAAAAGGGGGAGGTTAAAAAAGGAACAATTTTTATTGGCGATAGCACTTTTAGTAAGAAATTTACGGAAGTTTAACAAAAAAAACACCGCATCCGGCCCGTAACCCGGTAATTACCCGCCTTTGCACCGATTAACCCTTAATAATGGTAAAGTTAAAAAATAAAATAAAGCTTAAATTGCACGAAAGCGCATGGAGCGCAAAAAATTTATAAAACCAACTTTGCGTGCCCGAAAGGGCACGAAAAAAAGGAAGGTTAAAAAAGGAACAATTTTTGTTGGAAATAGCATTTTTGGTAAGAAATTTACGGAAATTTAACAAAGGAAATACCGCATCCGGCCCGTAACTTGGTAACCACCCGCCTTTGCACCGATCGACCTTTAACAATTGCAATGCCAAATTTAAAAAAAATCCTTAACAGCTTACAGCAGGTTAAGAAATGCAGAAAGAATATATGTTAAAGATTTTGTAAATTATTATAAAGTTTTATTTTTTCGTTTATTTTTACAATTTTATTTTGCTGTTTTATTTGCATTTAAATATGGTGAGTTTTGGTAAGAAATTGCGTTTTTATCCAAACTACTTTTGTGGGACTGTAGCAGCCGGGGGCTTTTCGGTAAGGCCGAATTGGAAAAAAGCAAAAGGCTGGAAGCTTTAAAAGCGTAAAAACGTAAATTAAAAAAGTAGGATTTGGTAAAGGTTTTCGGCAAGGTTTAGGATTAATAACAAAGCTTGCTTTAGCAAAAAAAAATTTGTTAAAAAAGGGTTTAAAAGCGTAAAAAAATTGCGGAAAAAAAAAGGAAAAGGAAAATAAACGCGCTTGGAAAAGCGCGTTTAAAAACGATTTAATAAAGGTAATGAAAAAGGAATAAATTTGTGCTATTAAACCTTTTACTTTGCAAAAAAGGGTTTAAAAATCGCCGGGTTTATAATTGTTGCAAAAAAAAGGTATAAGCACGGTATAAAGCTATTCCGGTTGGATTGCTTTAAAAAGGAAAGGATTTAAAGTGCAAGGCTTCGTAAAAGCTTTTGCCCTTTGTATACACGTAACTCCCGTGTCTTTTTTGCTTACTAAGCTTCCTTCTTAATGCTTGAAAGCGTTATACGCTTTCAAGCAAAGGGACTGCTCTTCCGATGCTTTAAGCATTTGCTATTTACGCTTAAAACCTCTCCTTTACAGTATATACTGTCTTCTTTGTAACATTAAATAAATGTTTTCGTTACTTCCGTTGCCCGGTACTTTTTATTGCAAAAAAATAAGCTATTACAAGCGTAATTATTTTTTAAAAAAAGCGGAAAGCAAAGCATTACGGGCATTTAATCCGTAGCTTTTGCGAACTTTAACGGGGAATTAAAATAAAGTTAAAAAAGTGCAGGCTTAAGCTCTTCCCAGGAATTTGGGGGGGGGGGGGGGGGGTTCAGGAAACTTTAAAAACGTAGTAGCATCGAATAACCCCATTCCTTCAGCAATCCCGTAGCTGGCACCCGCCGAACCCAGTTTAAACCCGGCCGTTAATTAATATACGGGGTAGCGAAAACCCGTTGTTTGCGTTTTGTGTGCGTTATTAAAAAGTACAATTTGTAAACCCGGTTTAAAGTTAGCTCGAAGCGGCCGCTTCCGTAGTTTAAGCTTCGCTAAAAGCGAAAAAAACGGGTTACCCCAAAAAACGCTATAAAGATTTTTTTTCGTTAGCAAAGTATGCGGAAAAAAGCTGGATTTCCCGTGGCGGTGCAGTATCGACAGTGGTAAAAAGGCGGGATAAGCTTTGCACACGCGCACGCAAAGCAAAGGTTGGATTTTTAAGGTTTTGGCTTTAACAAGCCGGAAAGGCTTCGTTAAAATCCTTGGGTTGTTAAAATGTTATAAAAAAAGCCGGTTTTTAGTTTTTAACGTGCAAATGCTAGCCTTTTTCGGTCCGGGCCTTCGAAGCGGAAGCGACTTGGGAAAAAGGGGATATGTAATAAATCGGCGCATGGCTTTTGGCCTGCACCGCTTTGGTGGCTTGTATGGCTGTGGCTACACAATATATAATGCCTTCGGCGATTACGGGAAAGGTGTTACGACCCAGCAGCAGGGCTGTCACCAGGCCACAGAAGGAGGCATGGGAGAGAGCCCCGAGCGGGGTCAACCTTTGGTCACGTGACCCCAGCAGGTGATATGACGAGGGACAACATATTAAGTGACAAGGATGATATAAAGGATATGAACATATCCTACATATCAACCCGTTAAGGAAGAACGCTTGGGGTATAAGAAGGAACGGTTTCTTACTGTTTTAAGTTAATGCACACCCTGTCGACGCACCCCCCCTGTCGACGCACTCTGTAGGGATCCGATTAACACCAAACCTACTACATTCAACTGCAAATTTCTACCTTTATTTAAGCAACCTCGATGCAAAATAAAGCTAATTCCTGATTAGAATTTTCCGGGCTTTCAAACGCTGCATCCATTTCTTTTTTAACTGTACCCTTCGTTTTTGCAACGCGCCGGATATCCATAAAGGTTTTGTTGGGATTTGTGGCTACCCTTTTCTTTTTGCAAGGCCGTTGTATTTCCAATTGGGCCTTTAATTGCTTAATTTTTTGATGGGCGGTAGCCAAGTCGTATTTGCGGGTGCTGTAGCTTTTTTAAAGCTTTTTAAAGAAAAGCCGGGTTGTAAGGCTTGCAGGTATCCGGGCTTGTATAAAGCTAATTTGGGTAACCAACTTTTTTAATCGTTTAGGGGTTTCCCAAGGTACTTGGGATGCTTGGGAAAGGATTGTTAAACGTTATTTAGCCTTATTATCCTTTGCAGTTTGTTAAATTTCGGATTGTTGGCTGTCCAGGCTAAAATTGTTAAAGATAAAGCGGTTTATAAAGGGTTTGGTTATATTGCGAGGCCAGAGGCCGGACGCCCGCTACCCCGCCTTTATATTAAGGGCAATAAAAGCTTTTAATCGTGCGTGGGCATAAGCCGTTAAAAATTAACGTTTTTTACCATTGTTAAGCAGGTAAATAAAGCTTGGAAACCGATTTTTTGGCGGTAAGCCTGTTTGAAAGGGCTAAAGATCGATAAGTCGAAGGGTTGCAATACGTACAAAGTATAGGCGGGCAAATATAAAAAGAAAACGTTATTCCGTATATATAAATTTATTTACCCCGTTCGAGCTGTATAGCACATGGGGAGCACTATGTTAGGGGTTAATCGGTACAAAGGCGGGTGGTTACCGGGTTACGGGCCGGATGCGGTGTTTCCTTTATTAGGTTTCCGTAAATCTCCTACCAAAAGTGCTATCGCTAACAAAGATTGTTCCTTTTTTAACCTTCCCTTTTTTCGTACCCTTTCGGGCACCCGGGGTCGGTTTTTTAAATCCTTTGCGTTCCAAGCGCTTTCGTGCAATTTAAGTTTTACCCTATTTTTTAATTTTGCTATTATGCTTTGGCCGCAATACCGGTAATTTACCGGCATATTTCCGGGAAATTCGTGCCCGGTTAATTGCTAGCGCCCCCTTTTTTTTTTACCGGGCGGTTTTGCCCGTGCATTTAACGCTTTTCGCTTTTTGCCAAGCGGTTTTGCCCGTATTTTTAACATATTGCCCTTTTCCGATACGGCTTATCCCAAACCGCTTGTACCGCGCGTGCGACCCCGTAAGTAATTGGTAGTTTACGGTATTCCGTTAAACCGTTTTAATGCCCGGCAACGCTTAAAAAAACCGGCTATAAAATTTTGTAGCATTTGGAAAAATGGGTTTGTACCGGCATATAAAAGGCTTTTTTTCCCGTTCGAAATTACAAACCTTTTTTTTTCCTTTTTGTGCATTTAATAACCATTTTAACAATTTTAACGATCGTAACCGTAAATAATTGGTATTTGGCCGTTCCTTTTAAACATTTGGACTTAACCGGTAGTTGCAAATGTTATCCTTCGTATTTAATTACGTAAAAAAGGTAATATTTTTTCGGGTATCCGCTTCGGGTTTTTCGATTCCAACCGGCCCGTTAGCCTTTTTTAATAACTTTTCGGTATTTTTTTTAATTATTGTAATTTAATTAAATTCGGATTCGGTTTCGCCGAAACCTTTAATCCTTTAAATTTTTAACGATTGCTTTGCCGGTAACTTTCCGGTAAACCTTTTAAATATTACGGGTTTATTAAGCCTTTTTGCGCTTGCAACCTTTTAAAATTCCCGCAAACGTTTTGCCGGTAACCCCCCGGCGGGCTTTAACCGCTGCGGCAAAAAAAACTTTCGCTAAAAAAAAGCGTAAAGCGCGCAACGAACGCCGCCGCAACGCTTTCGATTTTAATAAATTTGCCCCCAAAACGAACATTGCTTTTTCTTCGTTTTATATAAGTATTTATAACGCGTTTTCGTTGCAAAAAATTATCGATTTTTAATAAAGCAATAATTAAAACCTTATTTATTTGCCTTTTTTTAAAAATAATTATACGGAGCGTACGGTATTTTGTAACCGTTATTTTGGTTGTTAAGCATATTAGGATTATGCCGTTAACCCCCGTATACCGATATGCTTCGATAATTGTACGGGGTTTTTTAAATGTATTTATTGCAAAAACGTGGTTAGCAATAAAACTTGCGTTAAGCTTTCCAAATGGTTTTGGAAAATGGCCCAAAACCTTTACAAAATTTTAAATACCGTTTACAAACGGTTGCTTAAAACGATACCGAAGCTTTTCGAAAAGCTTACCAAAGTTTAATTTCGCGCCCGTAAAGCTATTTAAAAAGCTAAATCTTTTTATACCATATCGGCCAAACAATTTGCGCGCTATAAACGTTAAACCGTTATTTAAAAACGCATTTAGCGCAAAATTGCTAGCGCTACAATATTAAAAATTACCCAAAACATTTTCCAACAATTTTACGCTATCGCCGTTTAAATAAAAAAGTAAGCTTAAGCTTCGGTTAGTATCGGTAATTTTTTTAACAAAATAAAAGCGTTTTTTAAACGTTTCGAAAACGGTATGGTTGCTTTTTTTGGTAGCATTGCCGCTAATTTTGTTACAATTGCGGCGCATTCGGATATTTAAACTTACAATCGCGCGGCTTCCCGTAAGGGTACGGCGTTTATATTGGCGCCGGAAAGTGCCGCCTTTAGCGCTAACGATTTTGGCGGCAACGATTATAGCGCTAGCAAAAAAAACGTAATTTCCGGAAATTTTGGTTTTTTTAAATACGGCATTTAATTAATTTTTTTTACATATTTTTTTAATTAATTATTAATATCCCTTTTTCGAAAAGTGGTTAATTTTAAATTTTTTTCGTTAATTTATTATAATTAAAATTACAATTTCCTTTCGTTATGCTGCTTTTGCAGCATTGCGAAATTCCGGTATCCATATTTACTAATTAAGCTTTAATGCCCCAATAAATAATTTTAAAATGCTTTTTTTTCGCCCTTTTAATGGGTTTAAATATTGCTAATATGCATTTGCCGCTACCTGAACGCTTAGGCCCGTTCGTTATACCATTCGGAAATTTTTTTATTTTTTTTCGGGCAAATAATAATGTTTTTTATTACAACGTACGTTTAAAATACGGTAATTGCTTTAGCGTATTGCGTTAAGCATGCCCTTTACGGGCTTTCCGAAATGTGCTACACTTTGCATGTTTTTTAAAATTTAAATATATCGTACCATTAATTTGGGGCGTTTCCCGTACTATACCGTTTTTATTTAACTTTTTGTTTATAAAGTACGATATTTTACGGCTATTACAAACCGTTTACAAATTTTTTTACGTTTTTTCCCGGTAACCAATCGGTTTGGCACGTTTAAAACATTTTTTTGGGCTATTTTTTTAGCCCTTATCATTCCTTTCCTATAATACCCCCGTTTTTTTCGGGTATTTACCCGCTAAGGTTCGGTATTTTCCCTATTTTATAAGCTCGTTTACAATAAGCTTGCTTTATATGCTTAAACAATTTTTTTCGTAATATTCCTTTTTAAAATTTACAAATTTTTTAATTCGTCGTAATTTATCCATTTAACTAAGTATTTTCGTTTCCGCAAAAGCCCTTTATATTTTAGCAAAGCCTTTATTTTAAAACGATCCTTTTCCTTTTTTTCGATTTTTAATTTTTATTTTTTGGTTTTTCGCCGGGCTTTTTTTTAAACGCCCGCAATAAATTTGCCGGAAATACGTTATATATCCGGTAATTTACCGGGAGCTTTAACCGGAACGCTAAACCGGCTAACCCAATTATTTTTAAAATTTAAAAAGGTTTTAACCATTTGTTCGATAGCTTTTTCGACGGCCTTTTTATTTTAATGTTCGCCGTATTTAGCAATACTTAATTGCTTACCCCGAAAAGCACCGGGGTCCTGCCTTTATTATAATACTTTTTGTACATATTATTCGCTTT